TATATATATATATATATATATATATATATATATATATATATATATATATATATATATATATATATTATAGTTTAATTAAATATATTTAATTAAATTTAAAAAGATATATAATTGGTGGATATATGGATACAATGCAATGCAATAATAATTAAAATAATTATAAATAAATACACAAATATGTACACTGCGCTTACCATCGTAAAAATATAAAACCTTCTTCATATTCTCTTCTTTATATGCTGCTGCTGCTGCTGCTGCTGCTGCTGCTGCTGCTGCTGCTTAGACAAAAGAAAGAAACTGCAATACGCAGTTTGGGCGGAAATAAATGTAAATAAATGACGACGCGAGAGGCATACAAAAATATTTGAATGCCATCGGCTGTCTATACACCCCAGAGACACAGGAAATTCAATTTATACGGTCCAGACAATGCTCGAGTTTGCTGCTGCTGCTGCTGCTGCTGCTGCTGCTGATCGTGCTGCTGCAGCAGCTGCAGCAGCTAGCTACTCGTGATGCTGCAGCTCCTGCTGTTGCAGCAGCTGCTGTTGCTTCTGCGGATGTTGCAGCTGCTCCAGTTGCAGCTGCTGCAGCTGGTGCTGTTGCTGCTGTTACAGTGCTGCGGCTGCTGCAGCAGCAGCTGCTGCAGCTGTTGCAGCTGTTGTCGGCTGGTGGATCTGTGCGCCTTGGGCTTCACTCTTTGCGTGCTCTGGCCGCCAGGAGTTTGGGAGTTGGGGGAGAGGCAGACAGCCCGCGAGGGCTGCGGTGGTTTAGCTGCTTCGCTAGGCAGCAGGAGAAAGCCAGAAAGAAACAGAAAAAGAAGACGGAGGGGTCCCGCGGGTCAACGAGGAGCTGAAGACGGATAAATACGCAGAAACATATCTCGAATTAAACTGAATCGCCAAGAAGAGGGGAGCTGAGATGGCCGGCTACACCCCCCAGGCAGCCAGCCACAAGGCGGGTGTACGTACACCCCAACCCACTAGAAAAGCGGAGCCGCAGAAAGCGACTCGAGCTGGAACAGCTGCTGTACATCAGATAATTATACACCACCAAACTGCATGCAGAAGAAGCACTACTGAGACCCTCTGCCGCCGCTTGGGGCTGGACAGGGCCACCCGGGTCCGCCGGGGGCGCCGAACAACCCTGCAGCGCATGCAACACAGGAGAGATAATGATGTTCATCGAGGTTTATATAATGGAAAAACACAAAAATTAAACGTTTTTATTGAGTTTTTACGCCGATATTTACCGCTTTCTGCAGCTTTTGAGCTGTCTGTACACCCCGCACTGCGCGGCCTTCTTGCCGGCGGTGCTGGTGTTCTCTCAGCTTCCTCCCGATCGCGGCTGCACTTCATTTCTCTTTTTTTGGTTTCTTTTGATTTATTTGCTTTTATTTTGTTTCTGCATATGTTCTTATACAAGGCGATTCTTTTTCTGCTTTCATCTGCTGGGGTTGTTGGTTGGTTGCATGCGGGTTGCCGCAGCGGCAGTTTCCGCGTTGAATAGCGCTCTTCATAGATCATTTTGACGCTTTTTTTTTTTCAAAATATAAATTAATTTTCTTATTTAAACCATAGAATTCGTTTGTTGTAGAAAATGTCGCAGCAAACTCCCCCCGGGCGCGAGCGGGGTGAGACGGAAGCTGAGCGCGCGCACCGATTGAATAAGAGAAAGTATACAAGTCGAGTGTTTACAAATGTAAATAAATATGTTATGGAGGATAAATTCAAAGTAATTCGTTGCAGAAAGTGTACAGTGAATGCGGTGATCACCGATGCTGAGCTGGAGAAGTTACCGCGTCGTCGTACAGATAACGCCCCAGTATTATGCAAGGACCAGTGGACCATTAAGCTTTCAACGAAACCAAAGAAAGAAGCAATAAAACTAAAAAGATTAAAAGGAATAGAAACACAATACCACCATTTATGTATAGAATGTGGTCAACCTGTATTGTATCAATCTACACCCCATGGCTCTCCTGTACGTTTATTATATTTAATAGAAGCAAATGTTCTTATACCCAAAAATAAATGGCAACCAAAAAAAAGATGCAGAGTATGCGGATATATACCCCGCGACGATCAGCACTTTGAGGAACATATGCGGGACCGTGGTCACTGGGACCAGACCGGTGGTTCATTCCCTGCATACGAAGAAAAAAACGATACGCCAGTCAACCCTATCATTGTAGGCTAGAGTTGCTGCTGCTTCTTCTTTGTTCTTTTTATTTATTTATTTATTTATTTTTTTTTTTTTTTTTTTTTTTTTTTTTTTTTNTGCAGGGGGCCATCATACACTTTTTTCAGTATAACATAAACACGCACACTAGCACCAGCTAGCTAGCTAGCTAGCTAGCTAGCTAGCTAGCTAGGTTGTGGGGGACACATCGCTGTCTAGCTGGCTAGCTAGCTAGCTAGCTAGCCAGCTAGCTAGCTGGCTAGCTGAGGAGGTAAGAGGCTAGTGGAAGGGGCGGCTGCTGACGCACCACCAAAGCCTTCCTCCTAAACCACCAAACCCTAAACCCTCGTTACTTGTCTTTAACCCGCAGGGAAGGTGTAGGGTTTAGGGTTTAGGGTTTAGCAGAGGAACTGCAACTTTCTTTTAAGGCTGTTGCTGTCAGGGTTTGTTTGGGGTGAGACAAATGTAGAGAAGGGTGTGAGGGTTTAGGGTTTAGGGTTTACGAGGATACCCTAGGGTTTAGGGTTTAGGGTTTAGGTTTAAACCTTCAACTCCTAGGGTTTATTAGCGCGACCTAGATATCTAGGGTTTAGGGTTTAGGGTTTAGTATACAATCCCAAAAGCAAACCCTCGAGCGCCGGCCCCAAACCCTAAACCCTAAACCCTAGGGTTTGGGGGAGGGGGCCATGGGGTGCATTGTGGGTGTATGCATGACCCTAAACCCTAAACCCTTAGTCTGAGGAGTAACGCCTTGAGGGCGTCAAAACCCTCAGGCCCAAACCCTCAGCAGGGGACCTGTTTCAGGGTTTAGGGTTTAGGGTTTAGGGTCTAGGGTTTGAGTACAAGGAGCCCCGTCCTCTGCTCCTTGTGCCTTGAAACCGAAATTTCTCCCTAAAGCGAGGGGGGCCCCCATGGGGGCCCCCATGGGGGCCCCCCGAGGGGCCCCTGTAGGGGCCCCCATAGGGGCCCCCATAGGGGCCCCTACCTTCTCTGCGGGTATCTCTCCTCCGTTCGAACTGCAGCGGAGGCCTCGTGGTGGCAGCCCGCACATCCACTGCTTCTTCGTCAGCCTGCAGCAGCAGCAGCAGCAGCAGAAGCAGCAGCAGCAGCAGCAGCAGCAGCGGTAACCGCAGCAGCAGTAGCAACAGACTTGTGGGTTCACAACACGGCCAGCTACAGCCTGCGTTCTGCTGCTGCGGACTTCAGCTAAGCCTGTGAATACTGGAAAATGCAGAGATTAGGGTTTAGGGTTTAGGGTTTGGGGTGTACATGCAGCTCTGTCCACTTCCGCACGGCTTCGAGGGCCGCTTCCACTTGCTCGCTCTCTACGTCTACATATGCAGCACTGCAGCCACAGCAACAGAAGCAGCAACAGCAGCAGCAACAGCAGCAGCAGCAGCAGCAGCAAAATGAAGCGAACTGGCGGCATAGGGTTTGTTAGCAGGCAACAGACAAATTAAACAGCCCGGGGTGGCGAGGCTGAAGCACCAGCAACGACAGCAACCAACGGCAGCAGCAGCAGCAGCAGCAACTACTACTGCTGTAGCAGCAGCAGCAGCAGCAGCAGCAGCACGAGTAGCAGCACCAACAACTAATAACGCTACCAGCAACTGCAGCATTAGCAGCAACTGCAGCAGCAGCAGCAAGTATAGCAGCAGCAGACGGGAGCACAGCAGCAATAAGTGTAGCAGCAACAGCAGCAGCAGCAGCAGCAGCAGCAGCAGCAGCAGCAAGTGCAGCAGCTGACGTTCTGTCTGTGGCGTGGAGTTTGACTCCCCCCCTCCGCCACGAAGATTGGGTTTCTGGGCTCTGCTGCATCACCTGGCTGAACCTGCAGATATTAAAAAAAAGAAATAAAATAAAATAAAATAAAATAAAATAAAAATAAAATAAATTAAAATAGAATAAAATAAAATACAGAGAAAAAAATGAAATAAAAATAATACAACAGGTCGAAACAAAACAAAAAAGTATACAACTGTCTGGTGGAGCTGCCTATACACCTCAGCGGGCTGACGGCCCAAACCGACGGAAATATAAAAAAAACAAAATTTAATATATCCATATATATATATATATATATATATATATATATATATATATATATATATATATATATATATAT